TTCCACCGATGTTATGTTATTTTGGCTTCCGTTCTCAAAAAGTGGATGGGCAAAACATTCGGGATTGGTTGATGGTTGGTTTAATGCCACTCTTTTTCCATGTTAATTGGTAGTCCGAAATTAGCCCAGCTGACGGGGGAAAGTTCATGCTCCTCTGCATGTCTACTACAGTTGTGACGTTAAATGAGCTATCGTCTGCGCAGACTAAGTCAAGGACACAGGCTTTGGGGCTTGTATACGTCGGCTACTGAGGAAATGCCTTTAGGAAGCTCCGTCATTAATATAAGGTTAAAAATACCCTTTTCTCATTATTAAATAACCGTGGATAGTGTGCGCTTTAAGATCAAAGTTAAGTTTTGTGGAGAACGAGGATGAATAGCAGTGCGATTACTCATTGCTATTTTTGAGCTTCATTGTAGAACAAACTTCATGTTCATGAGAGGCAGCTCCAGAATTTCCAATTCCTTACAGTATTGTTGTGAACAGAAGCGGGTAACTTTTGTATCTTGCGAATTTTTCCCACAAGGCTTATATTTTTTGGCTTCCACTACCTAAGGAGAAGGTTCTGGTTTGTTGATGGTGTTTTATGGAAGCTGAGATTTCTGTCCTTAATTCACCTTTCTCTTTACATTGTTGTCAAGTTTAAGCACATTTCCCTCGCTACTACTCAATTACTTTGTCTCGTTATCTATTTTTTTCCGCATTTTGTTTCCTGCTATTTATCAGTTTGTATTTTACGTAATTGACTTTGAGGCTTTTCTTTTGTTTGTATTTCATCCTTCTTAGTGACATTATCGTTTTCTTGCTATCGCTAACATCATACTTATCCTGATATAGGTTCTACGATCTATCTGTCTTTACAGTTGCGATAATGTCCATCAAAGAATTCAGAAGACCAGGTGTCGAGCATGGGTGTGCATTAAAAAAATGCTAAATGGGTCAGTACACTCCTATTAGAAAAGGACACAGATTTTAATACTGCCAGTTGAATGTATTTTATCAGCTAATGCTCGCAAAAGTCTATGCTGAAATATGCACACTGTGATAAGTTGTTTTCATACCTGCGTACCTTAGAAAATTCTTTGGTACAAGCTACTCAGCGTTACAGTATTTATCACAATATTTATCCTTATCTGCTAATGAACCTTGTTTGTCTTGTTACATTTTACCTATAAATTTGCTGTCATAGCTACACCTCGTGATATTTTAAAAATATACTTGGTTATCGGTGTTATTTTTCCAATTTTATGTTGACCGCAAGGTTTAACACAAAAATTTCAGTGGTTTTCACAACCGTTTGCTACACTTTTTTATTCTTTCGGTTTACAAGGTTTTGTTTCCTTTTTATCGTAGAGGCGTGTCTACGATGTAATTAATTAGTTATAACAAATTAATTACGTCGTAGAAATGTCTCCACGATAAAAAGGAAACAAAACCTTGGATACCGAAACCAGTATGGAATACTTGTTCTTTAATTTGAAAACGATCGTAGGCTTTTTCATGGACCATGTGGCAAAAATGCACGTGCCAATCAAGCTCCTAGCGGTAATAGTCTATGCAGTCAAGCCACGTGCTATATAACACATTTCGCTATATGGTTCAGGATGAAGAATGCCAACATTCTAAAATAAGCAGAAAATATTTCAGATGTACGCTCATACAACTGAAATAACAACGAAGGTATTATATGCGATTAGAACAAAAAATGTCCTCCAATTTTGTAGTGTACTTGAACGCGTACGAGTGACACTATATTTGCTTCACCTGGATCCCCCGGATTTGGACGGGGAAATTTAGGGACTTTTGCTGGCAGCGTAATTCTGCACAGTTTAATCACTTGTTTGCAGTTCTCTAGGACCACGAACAAACAGAAACTAAACTCTGTCCTCTATTAGCTACTACCTTAACACAGTTTAAATATAAAACGATCATTTTCTAGTAACAGCTACGCTAGCGTTTAAATTATGACGGGCGTGAATAAAGCAGGTTTTACCCGTTGAGTATGCACAGTGTAAAACTCGCTCAACTGCGAATATCCGAGGCATGTTGGTCTTGGAAATTGGTTTTTTCTCGAAATATATGGCAGTACCTGTAAGTTCTGACGTAGTGTATCCCTTGCGTTTCAGGCAACGCGGGATTCTTAAGCGCTTTAACCTAAGGCAACTAAAATCTATGTAAACCTATGCGCCGGATGCATAAATAATGAGCAGACTGCTAAATTAGAGGAACCTTCAATTTCAATAGTTATCGCAGAAAAATACAATTACCTGTGTATCTGTCAAACAACGAGTCCAGCGTTTTATTGATCTACGTTTCGAGTATTTATAATGCCTGGTGACCTCGGTTAGGTTCTACATGGTTAAGGAACAAAATGAATCAAAGCACTACGTACAGAGTGCTCATAACCATCTGTACTGGGAAAAAGCTGCACTTTCTCCATTATTAATAAACTAACGTGCGGTGTAGTACAAAGTACTTTCACAGATAACATTAAAGGCTCAAAATAAGGCTGGTTTTGTAGAGTTTTAATTTCCTACACTCATCTGTTGCACTCAAACGTTTCAGCACACAACCTTATTATTATTTTGCAACTTTTAATAGTTTTGCACTTTTTGCATAAAAAATAATAAATTTCAAACTGAAAATATTTTGAAATAGCTACGATAATACCCGCCAACATTATATAAAGGAAAATAATTATTAATGTAAAAGTATTTCGTCGGACTTAATTTGAGCTTCTTCCGGAGGGAAAGTTTTTCCGCGCTTACATGTATACTAGCGTTTTTCATTTTCAAATGTAGGTATTAAATATAAACTTTAAATTTAAAGGAAAGGCGTCCTTTGAGAAAATGAGGAAATTTATTCTCTAAATTTTCGACTTTGGATCACCTTGTCGTCGTGCGACCTGCTGTTGAACAAATCAGAATGCAAGCAAAAAATGCTGTCACTAGTTAAAAGTAGCTCAACCTATAAGCGTCTTTCCACAGACCCTACCAAGGAGCAACTGTCATTTATTGACAAAGTACTGAAACACCTTTCAGGGATGAAACTACTGTCAGCAGGTACCGCAAACTGCCCGGAACAATCCGAGGCAAACATCGCGAAGATCTACGGATTACCTAAATTTCACAAACCGGAAGTTCCTCTGCAATCAATAGTTATATTAATCGGTGCATGGAGCTACAAAATCTCTGAGTGGCCTTTCTGTCAAATCCCCCATTACGAAGGATTGTGAAACTTTCATTCAGAACTCTACGATGAGCTCCTCGGACATCGTTTCCCTGTTCACCTCAATACCACTCGATGTAGCAAGGCAATGCAAAGAGGAAGCCCTACAGAGCTACGAAATGAAGATTCCTGCAGCCACCTTACTTGACCTTGTGGATCTTTGCCTAGAAGGCAATTTTTCATTTGATCATCAGTACTCTCAACAATAAAAAGAAGCTTCAATGGGATCACCCATATCTGGATTTCTTGCTAAAATAACCATGCAGAAGCTAAAGTCAGCGGCTCTTCCACCGATTAACCCTAAGTTATGGGTACGATATTTAGGCGACACATTTGTTGTCGTTAAAAAGGACCATCTCGAAGCGCTCCACAACATAATCAACTCAACCATTCCGTGCATTCAATTCACGCTCGAGAAGGAGGTTAACAGCAAACTCCCATTTCTAGATGTTCTCGTGCACCGAAATGCTGACGGACCATTACAAACGTCCGTTTACCGCAAAGACACGTATGCAGAAGTTATATTTAAATACGAGAGCAACAACCTCATCTCTCACAAAAAGAGTGCCGTCAACAATCTGCTACGCCGAGCAAAGACGCATTGCTCTGACGAAGAAACCTACCGAAAGGAGCTTAATTACCAATTTGAATTGTTTTCCCGCAAAGGTTATCCTAGAGCCTTTGTACGCCGATGCATGAGACAGCAACAATGCAACAAAAAACAACCAAATAGTTCCACTCAGGCGCCTAAAACAAAAACATATCGACTCCTGTCTTAAATAAGGAACATGTTTGAACCCTCTTGGAAAGACCAAGTAAAAGTGGCGTACAAACCGATGGCTTCTTTACGCACCCAGCTCGTGCACCCTAAGGATAGGGTTGCCTAAATCGATACGAAAGAAGCCATCTATAAAATCCTGTGTGAAGCTTGTGACACAGTGTATTGTGGCCAAACGGGAAGATCCGTCTCAACACGCATCCACGAGCACCAATTGGCAGTGAAGAGACGGGACCATTTGTCCCAAGTGGCTATGCATTGCCTTGACACAGGACACACCATCGCATGGAACAAAACTCGCATCATCGGAGCTTGCCCCTCCAAAAAAGGCCGAGAATTTCTTGAGGCCATGCACTCCAATGATTCAT